ATTAATTATGAATTTTTATATGTTTTAAATGTAATTTTTAGGATTGAAAAAAAATTAAATTAGAAAAAAAGAGAGGAGGTACCGACCCGAGAAAAGGCTTCAAACCCGTACCCGTTATATCGGCTACACTATAAGTAGTCTCAAATCTCTCTTTCAAAACCCTAGACACAGCAGCACTTCGCGACCGAGAAGACGGTCTTGTTTGCTGCTTAATATCTAGCCATGGTAAGAGTTCCAAATCGAAACTAGCATTCTATTATTCTCGTCTGTTGTGATTTGCTTCCAAAATTTTGGCATTCTTGAATTGTGTTAATGTTTAGGCGGGGGTGGAAACAGAGGTTCCTACTGGGCAGCCAAAGAAGAGAACGTTCAAGAAGTTCAGTTTCAGAGGTGTTGATTTGGATGCTCTATTGGACATGTCCACTGACGAGCTCGTCAAGCTCTTTCATGCGCGAGCTCGCAGAAGGTGCCGCAACAGCTGCATACCAATTTTTTTTTCTCTCTTTTTTTATTGTAGGTTTCTTATGAGTAGGTGCTCATATGTGTATAATAATACTTTTTCAGGTTTCAACGAGGTTTGAAGCGGAAGCCAATGGCTCTGATCAAGAAACTGCGAAAGGCTGTAAGTAGTTTCTCATGCTTAAAAAAGTATCTTCAAAGAGTTTATTGAGTTGTTAATTTCATTATCTGATAACATTTCCAGAATGGTGTGAGTAACTCGAATATCCAATATTTCGTTGTCTAATGTCGGAATAAGAGAATTTTATGTCAGTGATATTTAAAGTGTAGGCATTTATATATTCATTTGATGTATCGAATATCATGATGATTGAAAGATGGATGCTCTTGTACCCATATCAATCCTTTTTTAATTGTTGTGTAACTATTCTTGCTGCCTATTGAGGGGTAGTAATTGGCCTCGAGCTAGCAGATCCTGAGCTTTGTCTTGTTATCAGGTAATCATATGGCATTGTGAATGTTGTCCTGAACTGACTTGGTGGGTTATTAGTTAATTTGAATGAAAATTTTGGGAGAAGGTTGAAGATCACTATGCCCAATTTTTTTGTTATGATGGAACTAGAGCTTTGGGATTTAGCTGTTGTAGATCAAAGGTACTAGAGCGGCCAAATTGGAAGATAAAGCATCCATTTTGACTTATAAGGCCGGAACTGGTAATTATTATGAATTCAGAAGGACTTTAGTCAATTTGTTACACTAGAATCAGAACTTTGGAATTCAGCTATGGTAGGACTAAAGCTAGAGCAGCCAAACTGGAAGAGAAGGCATCTACTCTGATCTCAATAACGCATATGAACACAGCATAATTTTTATCTTGCTAGGTATCAAAACGGAGGCAAAAAATTTTTCCACAGCTTAACTAACTGTGACTTTAAGAATAACTTGTTCTGCTTAGGTGTAAGTGTGAGTAAAAACAAACTTTGACTGTTAGTTGGTTAATTGTGGTTTAAGGGCAGAAGCCAAGAGAGACGTTTCCTTTTACTCTATCCACCCTTGAGGGGAAATTTGTCAAAAAGTCATTGAAATAGAAAAATATACCAATTCTGTTCTGCATGTCAAATTGTTTTATTTTATTCTGATAAAATCTCTATGTTTCCATGTCAATTTTCTTGGTTGGGTTTGTTGTCTCTGAGATATCTAATTCTTCAAATGCTTTTTGGTAGTACTTTGATGGCCCTAGTGGTTCGTAAATTGCATGTGATTGCTGTCATGTGAAGGGTCAGATTACCTCTTGGTGTCCTAATGAAAGCAATGAAACTTTGCGTGACAGCAATGACATCCAATTATCACTAGATTTCAAGTTGTATAACCAACCTTTGGTTATACAACTTG